GGAGAGAGAGAAGAGCTCGCGGTGAATCGATTCGCGTTGTGTTGTAAACAAAGGAGCGAGCGAGAGAGAGAGCAAGACCAGTCACATCTGGCCGTTTGCATTCCCCGCTAGACTCATGATTGCTGCACAAATCTCGGGCTACGGACGTTTCTGCTGCCTCAGACTCTTGGTCTCGCTCCAAATGGCCCAACTATTGTGGTCTTTCTCCTCGAAAATACCTTCAGGTGGTGCGCCAGCTTTTTAATCAACTCCAAAAGAGAAAATGTCAAGGCAGCATTCGTGGTTGAAAGTAAGATAAAATAAATAATTTGATTTTTCCTCGCCTTTCTAGCGATTTAAAAAAAGGAGTCAGCAAAATGTGTCTTGTAATTTCAATTGACTTTTTATTTTGCTTTCAAATTTTATATTGTTTGCAACTTTAACACGGAACATTTATAATTCTTAGATTAAAATAAAAATAAATTACTGACACTTATGCAATTTTGCTCTTTAAAATTGATTTTTAAATTCATATCTTAAAGAAAAAATTTAATAAATTGTTAAAAAAATGTCCACGTATGTTGGCTTGCGTTAAATTTAATACTGAACTTTACGAGTCTTTACGGATATTAAGAAAAAATTGCCGTCACCAGCAGATGTCTCTGAAGAGTCCTTCACTTTTACGGTCTTCTATGTTCTATCAATTTTTGCTAATATAAAATTGGCTCGACGCACGCACCTGATGTTGCCGCCGCAACATATCGCACGGCTTCAATATCCTATTTGTCTCGGGAGAGACGACGGGCGGCAGCTGTGAGAGACCGGCTCGCCATTATTGCAATATTGAATCGGAGAGAGACCATTAAATTTTCCGCGCTAATTACATTCGAGCAGCGAAAAAAACACGCGAATTTTGAGAGCAGCGGAGGTTTCTGGAGAGGAGAGTGTAATTTGAGGCGAGAGTGGACTTCTCGAGAGTGCCGAAGAAAGACTGAAAGAGTCGAGGTCGCGCCGTTCGCCACACAGAAACATGCAGCTTGAATGCTCGGCTAACTTAAAATCGCAATTACCAACTTTCAATGGCGACGATCTTTTCATCTCTCAAAGCAGGCGAGATTACTTTTGCATGCGCCTGACAGCTGTTTGATCTCGCCGCGCGCATTTTTTCCGCCTTCACTCGCCGCGCACACAAAGACAGCTTTCGAGCCACTTTACACTCTCGCGTCTCGGAAAGTAGGAGAGCAAAATTAATTATTTCCCCAGAGTCGCCCACACGTTGTAACAAAAAAGAACGAACAAATCACCCCCCCCCCCCCCCGACCAAGTTTTAATTGAGATATGAAAGGGCGCCTTCCGGAATCTCGGCTGATTCGTTTTTGAGAAACTTCTCCTTTCCGCCACTGAGAAGAAAGTTTGTGACTGAAAGTGGCACTTAAATTGTAGAAAGCTATTTTCTTAATTATTTAATTACAGACCCACAATATAATTATTAATCTATATTAAATCTAAATAAAAAATAAATTATAAAGTTTTGAGAAATTTGGGATTTTAATTTATGGATTTTTTCAAATTTAACTTTTGAGTGAATGTAATTTTTTGTTGCAATGACTTCAATGAGTTCTTTTTAAATGAACAAAAATTTTCAACAAATGAATCAGGCATTTTTTTCCAGATCAATAATAATTTTATTCTCCCCGTTTTTCCGCCCTTCTCAAGCTCAAGTGCCTTGAGTGGAGTTCATATGAAAAAGAGGCGACCCGTTTCTTGAAACTGTTAACCGGCCCCAGATGAAAAAGGGAACTGCGCATTAAAGGCCCCGTGCAATAAATTAGAGTCGGATATCTAAGTGGCTAAAAGCAGCACCGTAGGTTAACTAACAACGTTTGCGGCAGTAAACTCGGAACGTTTCAGTGCGGTTGTTTGAATTAGAAAGCCTTTTAACCTTTTTACTCCACCACTTGAGCTTTTCCTGTTCTTCGTCTGTTTCTCAAAGAATTCCGTATAAGAAAAAAAAATTGTATCCGTTCTCATTTCTGAAGCCGATATTAAAAATACAGCCGAGTGCAGATTGATTGGTTGTTGAACGGAAACCCTGATAGGCAACCCGTTTGTCGGGCGTGGAGCGCGGGATGCATAACCACTGAACCCGGCAGGCGCTCTCTCGGCTGACGAACAGCTGCATTATGGAAGCGGTGATCATTTTTTAACGAGCGCATGAATAGATGTGCACTCCTGATGTGGAGCGCGTATTGATTTTCCGCTGCTTTCTTTATTCACCACGTCGCCCCGAATGTTCACCGAATAATTTTTTGTTTATTCCATTTCGATTTCGGGGCAAACCAATCAATTCGAACAAGTCCCGAGGGACGACGACCATAAATAGCGGACCAATTATTTCCGATTGAATGGCTGCGGCTGACACGGGCAGCGGACCCAGAAATGCATAAATGTATTAGAGAGAGGGGGGAGATGCTTGTTTACGGACACACGGCGCTTCTTTTTCATTTGGCGAAATTGGCACGGCTCGTTACGCCGGTCTCGAATCAGTGAATCATTCAACAGCAGCAAAGGGGGGCTGCTGTTGATCTTTCTCGAGACGCAATTTGCATGTGATTAATAGCCTCGTGTGTCTCTGTATGCAAATTTCGGGGCATTCGGGGATGAATTATTAAAGGGCTCGCCTTTCATCTCACGTGACCGACTGACCAACCGCACATATGCCCATCCATCCACCCGCCCCCCAGTCTGCGCCGTGTGAATCGATAAATCATCTTCACAGGCCACGTTTGAATTTCTCCCTCGCCGTCGCAACTTGAGCCCCTTCAAATCCGTTTTTTTCCTCGCTCCAAAGAGAGCGTGAATGAAAAGAGTATCTCGTATCTGATGGAGATAACAAACTTTCTTCTTTTTGCTCGTTAAAATTCGCCCTTGAACTGCTGATGAAGATTATGGAAAAAAAGTCGCGCGCCGGCGCCGCTTCTTGCCTGATTAAATGAACCGAGTTTTATAAGTAAAGGTGTGCGCGAAAAAGCAACGCGCCGGAAACACGCGACTGCAAACTAAACACAACTCGGTGGCGTGTTCACCTGTTCTTTCTGAGCTGTTGCACTCGGCCCACGCAAACAACCTAATTGCTATTCATTTTTCTTCTCCTCTTTATTGAGAAAGGTCTTATCGACAGATAAACTTCGGGCATGCGTGGGTCGCCTTTCACTTTTACGGCGGGGCGACCATTGCCGACTGGAGAGGAAATAAAATTTTATTGCTCGAAATGTGTTGAAATGCCAAATTCCTGGAAAGGTCGGACCGAGGGTGAAAAATTGTTTGCCGAGCCAACTTTCTTCAATTGAGATTTATAGGTTTACGAAATTGCGCAGTAAAATCTTTTCTATTAGAGGAAAATAATTTAATAAGTTTAAATTTTCAAGTGTATTTTTGAAGGCGAGCTTTGACGTGAATAAATTTGAGAAGGAAAATCGATAATGTTAAAAATAGACTTTGAGAATAATTGTCTTATGCAGTTTTCCGTCTATAACACTCAACATGAAATTTTGTCAAATATTAAGGGTTGGGTGTATTTTTTTTTTTGCAGGTGTCAGCAGAACGAGACAGCAGAAGTGAAGAGAGAGGTACGAACACATTTAAGAGTTTTTTTGTTTTGTTTTGTTTAAGCAAGCAGAAAACGGCCATGTACAGAGAGATTTGACAAGCAAAGCTGAAGGAGTGAATGTGCGTGTGATATTGGTTGATTGCACAGCAGCACGAGAAAAACCCCATTGATATAATATTTCATCCATTCTCAGCTCTCATTTTTTACCTGCAAAAACGCAGCCGCGCGGTGCCGACCTCTTTTCTCTCTCACTCACTTGTCCTGCCACCAAATGTGTCTCATTTCACTGAAGCCTAATGGTCCTGGCTGCTGATGAAGGGTGGCAAAAGTAGTAGTTTTAAAATAAAATAAATTACTTTAACGCTGCCAAAAGAAGTAAAAATATTGAAAGTTAAAATTTAATTTATTTTTACCTCAAAATTGTAAAATTTTTCATCTAAAACTGTCGTACAATATATTTACACGTTTTTAATTATTCAACAGTAACAAAAAAGGAATTTGCTTCAATTAATTTTGAAGTTTGAGGCCTATGAGAAAACAATATACTAACAAAAATTTAAAATTCCCGACTTAAAGCACACAAAATGTTAAGAAATTTTTACATTTTTAGCTATTATATAAAAATTTATAACGGTTAAATTTTAAATTCACTAAAATTATTCTAAATTTCTTGGAGTAAATATTATTTTTTGTTAAATTTTAAAATACGTCCAATAAATCGAAAAGTTATATATTTTATATTTGATTTAATTAATTAATTCACTTGAGAATTTTTAATAGTTTAAAAAACTGAAATATTAAATCAACACTGCAAAGCACTATTTTAAACGTGTTGTGCAAAACTAGTGAACAAGAAGCAATAATTTTAGTGATGAACACACACAAACTGATGTGTGACCGCCACGCGAAATGAGCAGTGCAGTCGATTAATTAAAATGGACGCCGACGCTTTTAAATGATTTCCGCTTCGCCGACTTACCGAAACAAAATCGGCGCAATAGCAGCAGCTGGATAATTGCAATTTTTCGCGACCAGAGTTGAATCAATACGGCGAGAGAGGAGCGAGAGTGCGGGTGTCTGCTACAAAAACGGAGCCGGAAAACTAGCTCTGGCTAACCTGTTAGGCCGACTGCGGTTGCCAAACAACTAAATACACACAAAAAAATCTATCATTTCAGCCGCTCGCAGAGCCGCTCAAATTTCGAAGTGTCAACGCGGTCCGTCAAAAATAAATTTCGCTCGTCAACAAACGCGTGCGTAAATTTGACTGTGGGGTGGACTCGAAAATGAGACTAGGAAACTAACCGCGATTAATTAATTTCTACCAACTACAAAAATTTGACTAATATTTTTATAGTTTCCAATCAACGAATGTTATATGCAGGCAGCATGCGAAAAGATGGATAGTTACATGAGAGCCGCGGACTTGACAACATTTAGGAAAAAGATAAGAGAAAGTGTAGAGGCACCAGCGAACACGACCACTGACTACTGACTGAGCAGGGCGGCTGTCTGCTCGACGAGCTCGAGTGCGGCGCCTCCGCCGCCAGCCGGGGGCGGAGCCCTGCGGGGCTCCTGCTGCTGCCGCGCAAATGGCTGAGAAAGTAAACACGTGCCCCAAATAATCCTCCTCACCTGCTCTCGTCCCACTCAAAAGCCCAACTTGTGTTTTCCCGCCTTTTGCAGTGCAGCCTCTTTTCCTTTCCAAGCTGCGAGATGCGAAATGAGAGGAGACGCGCACCTTCCACATAAGCCGACCCCAGAGATGAATCAAATAAGCTCTCCAAACGTTATTGCAACGCTGGCACTTTTAATTAAAAAAGGATTAGCCCAAATTTTTTACCTGCGTAGCATGGCCATTAGAATAGGAAAAATGTAATATACAAAAATTAAACCGAATGAATAATAATAATAAAAATAATATCCCCATGCAAAACATGAATTTCATCTGAAGTAATTGTTAGTTTGATGTAATCGTTTAGTATTATTCATTCAAAATTTAATTAATAACGTATTAATATTTGGGTAGAGCATGCTCGGTAAACATTACTTGAAATTGAAATTATTTCAAAAATTTATGTAAATAAATTATAAAATATGTATAAATTATTAAAAATAAAATTTTAATTGAGAGTATAGTCTTTTTTGTTAGTGTTTGTTACGGAAAATAAGTTAATAAAAATAAATATTTTCACAAAGTAAAGATTAAATGGTTAGGAAGAAAAATTACATTTTTATTCAATTACTTCAACGTTCTATAGAATTCTAGTATTTGAAAATCCGTGAAAAATTTAATCAAATGATTAATTTTTTATTTCAAATTTATCACAATCTAATACAATTTTGTTAAATCTAAGTATTCTTTTGCTATCTCTATATTTTTTTTTTACTTGAAACTGAATGAGCAGGGCAATTTTGATACTTGACTGGTGAGCTTTAATTTGACTACAATTTCTTGTAAATCTTGTAACAAAAATATTGAAATTTTCAGTTAACTAATAAATTTTTCATTTGCCTTTTTGTAAGTTATCTTAAGCTTAACAGATGCTAGGATATATTTGAGATTCATAAGAAATTTTTTAATTAGACTTAATTTTATTGATTGCAGCTTGGATCTGGTTGTGAAATAATAGAGAGAAATTTTTCTTAAAGAAAAAAACGCCCAAAAAGGTAATTTTGCTTGGAATATCTTAAATTATTTATAATTATTCAAATAATTAAAAATAATTACAAATGTTAATTTTTGCAATCTCCTATCAAATAAATTTTAAATCCCATCAGAGCAAAAAAAAATTGATATTATATATTATTATTTTTGCATAACGATAAACTTTTCTGCTGCGATACTTATTTACTCTGGCCTGTCTCAAGTGAGAATTATGGCAGCCCAAGAAATACCACCACCGACTTGCTGTTGCCAATGGAAAAAATTAATCCGCTTCAGTTGGCCCCCCAAGGCGTGCTGAAGGATTGCATGAAAAATGCCTTCGACTCGCACAGTTTTGCTTATGGGCATCATATACACATATATAAAAATCACATCTTAACTATTGGAGTCGGAGTGAGAAATGAGAAAAAGTTTGTGCGCCAGTTTAACGTGATTAATAGTTAGATATAAGAACTGAAAAGTTACCCTGCACTCTGCTCATTAATATAAATGTGGATGCTTTTGCTATTGGCAGCTCATGCGGCTCGGAAAAAAAAGTGTGCGGCTTAATAACATACGAGGCGCGTAGCGGAAAATTAAAAACACCGGTGGACCGAAACACGCACAAACACGAAAAAAGTCGCAATGTAGAGTAAATTGTCATTCGTGCAATGAATCAGGTGAATGTTATTAACTAGTCATTCTAAATCAATTTCATTTTATAATTGTATACATAGACCAAACTTGTTCTTTCATTTTATTTACAAATTGCCTAAATATATTATTTACATATTCAAATTAAATACAAAATATAAATAAATAAATATAAATATGTATAGTTTAAAAACGAGAGCAGAGATTCAAAATCACTAAAAAATTCTTGATTACAAGAAAATTGTAGTTTTAATTTATAATCATTATATATATTTTTTTTAAATCTTTTTACATATAATTAATAACAAATTAGATTGAGATGAGTCACATTATTATGTAAGGAAATGTAATTTTACAGCAAGAACAATACCTTTTTTTGCAAAGGGCAAAGTCGTAAAAAAGAATCGCATTTAGTTAATTTATGTTTTCCACGTTCTGGAAAAGCTGTGGAAAATCCTTGAAAACATTCGTCATTTTTATTTTAAATTCGTATCCTGCACGGAGAGATACGCCGCATGTAAAGCCCGTCGGAAAGGGGCTTAAAGTTGCACACGTGAGCACGAGCGATATTAAAAGCGGGAAGGTCGTACGTGTTTTTTGACACTGCGCTGCAGCAAGTTCGCAAGGTAGTATAGAAGTCCATAGTAATAGCGAGCTCTCTGTACCACTCATTAAAATGCATGTAGCGTTAGGCAAGAGCCATGCATTTTTTTTTTTTACCACCGGCAAAAGAAGCTTTTGCCTCGCAAGTTGCATACCTCGGCGCCCCATCAATTATTTCCGGCGCTGAAAGATTTATCCGCAGCAATAAATAAATCGTCCGGTCACCTGCGAAACGCGCACAATAAATCTCACTTTTTGCTGCGAGACGAAAACTATAATAGGGGGACCGAAAATCGCGAATGACGGACGCTTGATGTGCGTCATTAGTCGGCTGAGGCTCCGATAAGGCCAGCAAATGGACCAAACACGACGATTCGCCGACCCCGCCGCTTTTGTTATTTTTATGCCAAAGTTTGCGCTGCTCGTTTGGTGAGCTCGCTTGTAACATCCTCCGCATTTTTATGATGTGACAAAATTGCTCGCAAGCCAGGCAATTTGCAAGCAAATTTCCATGACCTAATTACGCGTTGCTCTCTCTCGTAGCTAACGGGCTTCCCGACTTGCTTTGTTTTTTATCGCCGGGTGCAATCGAGGTGCAATCAGCCCCGCTCGTCGACGTCATGCACGCACCAGTAGTAAAGGATGAGTCTGAATGTGTCCTTATATAAAGCATCATCAGCTCTAATGTAATGTGTCGACTTTAAAAAAAAAGAAAGCACTAATGCAAAACTTGCTCGGTCTCAAAGTTTTGACAGCACAACAAAAAATGGCTTGCTATATAAATTCTCTTTTGCAGACTTGTAACATTTACTAATGCATTTCTGGAAATACCATTACGCAAGAAACTGTTTTAATTAAGTGAAGAGTTAGTAGGAATTTTCAATTAAGTTGAGAATTTTTATACTTTATTGAGATACTTACAAAATATAAATATTTAGTAATATGATGATTTGAATTTAAATTCGGCTTTTCCTCGGTGGGTTTTTGTGAGTTTTTATTGTTTAAGAAAAACAATATCCCTCTCTACATGTTTCAGCTGCAGCCATAATTCATGAGCTGTGAAAACATTTTGACAAAAATTAGTACAAAAATATATTATATCTTTTTTCAAAAATTATTTTTCTTTCAAATTGACCCCGCAGCCGAAACATGTAAAGCAGGATATTATTTTTTCTTAAACAATAAAAACTCATAAAAACCCATTGAGGAAAAGACGAATTTAAATTCAAATCACCATGAATCAACCCTCGACCGTGAACTTCTACTACAAAATTTAGTAATAATCTGGTAATTATTAGGTTTATTGGTTAAGAAAATTTGATATTTGAACATCAGTTTGTAATCTTAATAATAGCATTACTCATTTCTCATTTCTATACTAACATACGCCATTTTGAGACTTTATCCGATGGATTATATAATTAATTGGATATTGCAAAGGGGAAATTGATTTTGGAAATAATTATTTTCACGTAATACGGAAAAAATATCAATTGGAATTAATGCATAGCGAGATAAAAGCAATGTTATTAAAAATTTAAGAAGAGTAAAATCAAAACATCACAAAAATCCTAATTTTAGGAATTAAAAATTTTTTAAAGTTGGCACCGTATTAAGTGATGAATGAATTTCTATTTAAAAAGAATGTTTTAAAAGATTCAAAGTAGAGTGGAAATATATTTTCAAGAGCTGAAAATTAAGAAAAAAAGAAGAACTTTTCAAGAATACGTCAAATTATTTCATTAACACACAATTTCACTAATTGTAAGTAACCCTTTCATGAATTGACAAAAAACATCTTAAAACGCACCTCTTTTCCAGATTTCCCTATGGAAAAAGAAGAACTTTTCTTTGGAAAGACACAGCTCGCGAACAATAAGTGCTTTGTTGTGGCGCCTGAATGCGTTTCTGTAAACATAAATTATTGTCCTCAGCACGCATTCAAAAGATTTTTTTCTCCTTCTCCCGAGCGAAATTCACGCCGAATACCTGGCAGTGCGAACTCGGCTCCAATTATTAGTTGCAGAGAGCTGTGCTTGCCCCTCATTTGATAAATAGAACCGCGCTTGTTAGTTAACAGTTTTGTGCACTGCCTGCCGGACCAACTTGTGCGGAGTCGGCCAAGCGCAATCAATAGCATAGGAGCTTGCAAAGGGCTTTCGTCCGCCAGCTTATCTCGAAACTTTGCACAGAGCAGCCTACTTTGGCAGTTGCAATCTATGGGTGCCGCGTAGCTGCTTTTGCCACTTAAAAAAGTCCATATAAGACAAGTTAAAAGTGGCAAATTGCAAGACCAAGTTCCTCCGCACACGTGTGTGTTAATAATGCATGCAGGGTTGAAAATAACCCCCCATTAACCGACAGCAAGTCTCAAGGCAACTTGAATATTCATTTCGCGATTGCATCTCTGCAGCGCACTAATCGAATTCGTGTAAGGAAATTAATTTTGCGCGCGAGTGGATTCGATTGGCTCTGGGATGGCAACCTGACACGCGATAAGGTGTTTTCGATTCACGCGCACGCACATTTATTCAACATTATTTTCTTTCTAATTGCATGCTCGGAACATATTCCAAATGAGG